TTTTTTTTTTTACTGTCGTTCTGCGTTCGGTGATGCCATTCCTATTTTTCTCTTTGGTGACTTTTTTTGCTTGACGAGGATGGAGTGGTGTTGAGAGAAGAAAAAGCAGAAGTGAAAATGGTAGGGAGAAGGGAAGAAGTTGAAGTGACAAGAATTAATATTTTTATTTTCTTTTTTGGTTTTTGCACTTTAGCATCATCATCATCTCTTCTTTACTTCATGCTGTCTTTTTGCTTTTTTTTTTCTCTGAGTGGAAACTCATTCACTGAGTCACTCAGTCGCTTTCCCTCTCCCCAATATATATATATATATATATATATATATATATATATATTTTTTTTTTGTTTTAATTTACCTTCTCTGTCTGTCTGATGGTGAAAGTTTTCCTTCTTTTTCTGCACGTAAGGTGCTTCATCAATTCGCGTTTCCTTGCGAGATATATTTTCTGTTTTTCTGCAAGAGATGATATTAGGGGGAAAATGTGGGAAAAAGCAAAGGCAGAAAGAACGATAAAAGAACCGTAATGTTACACTGTAGATCAGCTGTAATGCTCTGATCAGAAATAACAGAACGCAAAAGACAAATAAGAAAGAAAGTAAAATTGAAGTGTAAAAGAGTTGTTGTTGTTTTTGTGGGCGATCGTGCCGTCGTTAACACAAACTGAACTGCATTGACCTTGTGTTTCGTTCACGGTGTTGTATTTTTTTTTTTTTTTGTTTTACTGTTGGAGACTATTTTCCCTACCATTTTCAATTCCTCCCCCTCATTTTGGCGTATCGTTTTTTTTTTTTTTTTTTTTTTTTTTTTTTTTTTTTTTTTTTTTTTTTTTTTAACCCTTGTATTTAATCCAAACGGTTTCGGTGTTTTTTTTTTTCCTATTTTACTCTCTTTTCTTTGTTGATTCGTTTCTTTTTTGTTTTAACTTGCGTACGCGTCTCATTCTCTTTTCCCCCTTCTCTTTCTCTTTCTCTTTCTCTTTCTCTATACGTCTATGTTTCTATGTGAGTTTATTATTCTTATTAAAATCGTCTACTTTTTGTATTATTTACCTTGCGCTTCCCAATGCATAAAGGTGTAGAAAAAAAAAAAAGAGTCCTTCCTTCGTTTTCCATTGCCTGTATTCAGGAGCTGTGGAATAAACTGGAAGATTTGGTTATTATTTTGAAAAGAAGTATGACAGCAATGGAGCAGCAATAGAACGTATTGTGGTGTAGAACTGAGAGAGAGAGAGAGAGAGGAGGGAGAGAGAAAGAAAGAGATTAATGTGATAAGTATGAGAGGGACAGTACCAATCAGGGTATACATCCGAATGATCCGTGTGTTGTATCTTTTTTTTTTCTTTTCGTTTATTTGTTTGCATTCGATTCTTTTCTTATTGTCTTCATTACTTTTGCTTATTCTCTTGTATTTCCATTTTTCCTTTTCCCTAAGAGCGGTGAGGAATTGTACACCGTGTTGTTTGGACACCGCGCAGCAACACGAGAGGGGCACTGCAGGCGAACAGACGAAAAAATGAAATGACAATGAAGAGAAAAGAACTGCGGATGTTTATTTTTATGTGCGTACGGCTGCGCAAATGAGTTCGAGTCAATGAGCCCCATAAGGGTGAAGGAAGAAATTCTTTTTGTTTCTACTGATATAAGTAAAGGAACATTGAAAGTGCATATTCCTATTGCTTCTGACACGCTCATGTATGTGTCTTTTTTTTTTTTTGGTTCTTTTGTTGTCTTTTTGTCTTTTTTGTTCTTTGTGATCCTGCGCTTCTTGCAATGAATTAAGTAGCCATCCACATTATCAGCAAAATGAAAATTGTGCTGTATTAACTGCTGTGAATTACCCTTTCTGAAAAGGGAAAAGAATAAATTACAGATTTCTTTTTTTTTTTTGCTTTTTACTTTTTACTTGGGGAATCTCTGACATCGTTTAGTGTTTTTTGCTTCTTTTTTTCCCTTTTCATTAAAACAGCAGCAACAATAACATAAGTGTTGTTGGGTACTGTACTGGTGCAATACATTTGCAAGAATGGGAGAAGGAAATAGTGTAAAAAAAAAAAAAGAAAAGAGTAACTTTGTTTCACCGATAAACTCTCTGAAGGGAGAGGAAGAATCCACGAATTTATGGGAGAAACAGTTATTGAAAGCAATTCAGCGTTTTTGTTTGGGAAGCAGGAGATAAAAGAGACCTTTATGTAGGGTTCTTCTCGTGTTTTATTATTATTATTATTATTATTATTATTATTATTATTTTCTTTTTACTGCAATGTCTTGTACTTCGCAGTTTCTTTTCTACTGGTGGCAGTATGGAGAACAGGAAGTTAAGATTTAAAGACAGAAAAAAAATAAAAGGCAGTGGGATTGAGAAGCGAGATAAATTAAGAAAAAAGAAAACAGAAGGTCTTTCATATCTTTATCTTTGGAGTGTTCCTCTCCATTATATTTTCTTTGATATCTTTCTGCATACAGATATATGGATACGTCTCTTTTTTTTCCCCCGTTTCCGAGTGCAGACGTGTGTGTGTGTGTGTTCTATTTTTTCTCTGTTATGTTATGATTCCCCTGGTGGCACCATTCTCTAGAGTTTTTTTTAAATGGAAATAAGTGAGTGGTGAGAAGAGAAATATTGTGTGGGAAGAACTTCCCCTATATTCAACCATAGCAATAGCAACAGCAGTAGGAAACTGAAGTATATGAAGGGGAAAAAGGACATTGACTATAATAGGCCCAACAACAGATATATATATATATAAAAGGTGGTATTATTTTCTTTTTCCTTCTTGTTTCTGTTTCATCACTAATATGACCATCGTTATTAGTGACGTGTTTTTGTTTTCCGTTTGTGCGCCGGTAATTGTGTTGAAGAGCGAGAGGCAGTCATAACAGCCAACATTATCGCGATGGGAAGCAAACACAAGAAGAAGTTGTGGAATAAAAAAAAAAAAACGGAAAAAAGAAAAAAAAAAACGACTCAAAGAATATCATCAAAGGACCATATTGTAATTGCTGACCGGAGAGCAGTCAAAATAAAACAAACTGTGAGATGTTTTTTTTTTTGTTGTTGTTGTTGTAAATGAAGCTTTCAAGAGGATTATGATTCTTTTTATTTATTATTATTTTGGTTTCCCTTAACTTTTTTTCGTCATTATCACTGAACTCTTTACAGCTATTGCTGGTAGCGACCGTTACTGCTCTGTGTAACAAGTACATGTTTTTTTTACTTGCTACAATAGACAACAGACAAAACAAGAAAGAAAAAAAAAGAGAAAGAGGGGGAAAAAAAGGACTGCGTTGAGTGACTTTATTTGGTCATTTCTTCTTGGTAATGTTGTTAAAAATGTTTTTTTTTTTTTTTTTTTGTGGGACCAACTTGCCGAGAATAAGACAACTCAATAGAAGCATTTCAGTTTAAACGGGTACAGACAACCGCGCAGTGGACTGCTCACAGAATTGTTTAAAGAAGCGTGCGTGGCACATCGCATCGGAGCGGATTTTTTGTTACTACTTGTCTTGTTCCACTAACTTCGGAAAATAAATTTAAAATATTATCAAGTGTGATGTTACCAATTCTACAGGTTTTCTTTTTGTTTTGTTTTTATTGTGTGTATTTTCATCTTCATTTTATTTGTTTTATTTCCATTTTGTTTCACATCCCCTCCTCCTTAAGGTGTAGAATAGCACTTTCACACACACACACACACATAAAATATACTTGTATATATATACTGTGCAATGGAGGGTTCGCAGGTGAAGGAACTCATACAGACGTGGCGCGGCCTGAGCAGTGCACTCAAAGAGAAGAACGCGGAGCTCGAGAAAACACGTGCCGCCCTGCACGAAATGGAGGCAGAGCACGCAAAGACCGTTCGAGATTGGGATCTTGAGAAGGCGAATATTCAAAACACAATTTCGTTGGTATGGACACAGGTGTCAAGTAAGAAGGAGGAACTCGCCCGCATAGAGGAGGAGACACTGGAACTTCAGCGAAAGGTGGATGAGCGCCGTTTACGCAATGAGGAACACTGGAGGGTTTTAAACAAACGTAAACAAGTGGTTAAATCCCAACTGCAGGAAATGGAAGAAAAAGATAAGGATGCTAGAGAACGGTTGCGTGAATTCCGAGAATTGCGAGAGGAAAGCAAGCAGCAACTTCTTTCTACCATTCAAAAACTTGAGGGTATTGCGCAGCAGGAGCAGATGGACCACCAACAGAAGACACGGCAATTACGCAGTAGGATTGCTGATATGGTGGCAGCAACGGAGTCTGAGAAGAAATCATGGGCCCTTGAAGTCGCAATGCGTGAATGGAAGCAGAAGAGCGATGCACGCAAATGGTTGTCGGAAGAAGCTGCTGCTGCAGAGAAGGAACAAGGGACGTGGGCAGAGATTGTCAGGGAGGCCAACAATCTTAGCTGTGAAGACCATCTCAAAGAGTTGGACGTACTTCGCGCTCTCATCTCCTGTTAGAGTTTGGAGATATTGAGAGAGGGACTATATGGTTTAAAGGGTTATATGAAAATGATACAATATGTATTCCTACATGTCTTTCTTCACAATGCAGATTCAGTAAGCGATATATACGCCCTTTAGTTTATATAGATAGCATCACTACACCCTGTTGTTTTTATGCATCATATTATTCTTTTTTTTTCGTTTCCCCTAGATACTTTAGATATTTGAGTGACTACAATATATTTATATGAGTTTTTCTTCGTTATGTCATACTTTTTTTTTTTTTTTTGGAATTATGCTGACTCTACAGGTGTTGATACTACTAATTATTCGTCCATCTTTTTTTTCTTTTTTCTGTGGTGGTGGTGGGGATGGTCATGGATCTCATTATCTCTCTAGGAAGGTAATAGGTACACAGATACAGGTATCTAGGCTTCACGTAAAAAAAAAAGGGGGAAGTGGGTAAAGAAGTACAGGGTTCTCTTTTATTTTGCTCTCTCTAATGTCAAGCCGTATTTGCATTCGTTCTCTTAGTTCTGATTTCGATGAACAGTCGCTTTTGCGGATCTGTGCTTCCTTTGGTGATATTGCCGCCTTCGACGCCCGTGGTGCAACTGGCGCGATTGGGAATGAGTGCACCGCTGAGGTTCAGTATGAAGAACCCGAGGACGCCGTGGCTGCTGCTGGTAACATGAACGGCATGGAGTTTGGTGGTCGGTACCTTCGTGTTTTTCTCAAGCGATTGGCGGCTTGAGAAATCGTTTTGGTTACATTGAAACTGCTTTAATAAACTTCGTTGTGAAAAAACAAAAAAAAAAACAAAAGAAAAAAGTAATCCAAACGCAATAGCTCTTGTTATCCGTTTCTCTGTATTTTTTCCTCTGGGGATATCTATAACAATTGCGACGTAAGTATATCTTTGTTTTTTTTTTTTCTTGCTTGTTTTTTTTTTTTTTTACTCTGAATTTTTATGAGCACGGCGCGTCAAGAACAAAAAAAAAAAGAGAGAGAGAGAGTAATGGAGCACACATCCACTGCACAGGAGTGTATCGTCATTCTTGACGCTGGTTCTCAGTATGGTAAAGTGATTGACCGAAAAATTCGTGAGTTACGTGTGGAGTCCCGCATCATGCCGCTCAACACTCCTACAGAGACGCTTCGAAATGACAAATCAATTAAAGGTATTATAATCAGCGGAGGCCCCAGTTCTATACATGATGCCGATGCCCCAGCATTTAATGAAGATCTCTTTGAAGTTGGAAAACCCCTACTTGGGATATGCTATGGTATGCAACTCCTCGCACGATCCTTTGGTGGAAGTGTTGGACGAGCAGCAGTTCGGGAAGATGGACAGGATACCATATCAGTGGATTCTACTTCTAAACTTTTTCATGGTCTTTCTTCAAATGAAAAAGTATTACTTACACATGGTGATTCTATTACTGATTCAGGTCCTCATCTTGATGTTATTGCACGTAGTAGTGCTAATATCATTGCAGCTGTACAACACCGTGAACTTCCCCTTTTTGGAGTGCAGTTTCACCCAGAAGTAGAGCTTACAGAGAACGGTATGAAGATATTCAAAAATTTCTTATCTCTTTGTGACTGTCATTTTACCTTTACTATGGAAGATCGTGAAGAAGTGGCACTACGGATGATTCGTGAAAGAACTTCTAAAGGACAAAAAGTACTTTGTCTTGCATCTGGTGGTGTGGACAGTACAGTTTGTGCAGTCCTGCTTCTTAAGGCGCTTGGTCCTGATCGTGTGGTCTGTGTGCATATTGATCATGGATTTATGCGCCTCGGGGAAAGTGAAGAAGTTGTGGCTGCTTTGAAAGCAGCGGGAGTTCATGTGAATTTGATTGACGCACGCGAACAATTTGCACAAGCTACAACAGAGATGCCAGCCAAGCGCAACCGTGCATCATATACAACAGGAAAGCTATGTGAAGTCATAGACCCTGAGGAAAAACGAGTTATTATTGGCAATACTTTTATGACTGTCTGCGATGCAGTTATTAAGGATCTTCAACTTGATCTTGACAATCTGCTTCTGGCTCAAGGTACCTTGCGCCCTGATCTGATTGAATCTGGCTCATCGTATGCCAGTAAGACAGCGGATGCTATCAAAACACACCATAATGACACTGCTGTGGTTCGTCAACTACGTGATGCTGGTCGAATCATTGAGCCTCTGTGTGACTATCATAAGGATGAGGTGCGGGAGTTGGGTCTGAGACTCGGGATCCCGCCACATTTGGTGCAACGACAACCATTCCCTGGACCTGGTCTTGCTATTCGCACACTTTGCAGTAATGGTACACCTTACAAGGATGAATTCTATGACTTAACAGAGGAAATAGTGAAAAAAATATGTGCTGGGGAAAACAGTATGGATTTGGTTCTGCCACTGCTTGATGATATCAAAAGTCTTCAACCTGCTTCTTGTCTGCTTCCACTACGCACTGTTGGCGTACAGGGTGACGGTCGAACATATGCGTATGCGGTTGCCATTTCCACTGATACATTTCCTCTGGAATCCCAATGGAAGCAACTAAGCAGATTGGCACTTGCCATTCCAAAGGTTGCACATCATGTGAACCGTGTTGTGTTTATGTTTGGACCAAAACGTTCAGACTCACCACGGACAGCCGCAAAAACGACACTTATTCCTTCAGTACTTGATAAACTCCGCATTGCAGATGATGTGGTCAACCGTGCACTTGTGAAGCACAACCTGGTTTCTCGTCTCAGTCAGGTTCCTGTTGTACTTCTGCCTCTCGGGTTTGAGGAAAAGGGTGAGATTAGCATCGTGGTGCGCACCTTCCTCACGAATGACTTCATGACAGGTGTCCCTGCACTCCCTGGATCTCCTATGATGCCAATATCTGTATTGCAGGAAATTGTTACGTCACTACAGGGTTTGGATTTTGTATCCCGCGTTATGTACGACCTCACGGCGAAACCACCTGGAACGACCGAGTGGGAATGAGCACATACTTGGTGAATATTTGTGTTTGTGTGTGTCTTTGTTTGATTTTTCATTACCAGACTTACTGTTTCTTTTGTTTTTTTTTTCTGAATTAGGATAATGCGCATCGTAAACAGTGTGTAAATAATAAAAATGAAAGAAAAAAAAAGATGATGGATCTTTTTAACCGTTTTTTTTTTTAACACATTTTATGCGTTATTTATCATTATTTTATGAATTCTCACTTGATTTACACAATAAGAGTAATACTGCGAAATGGTTTTTTTTTTTTGTTGTTGTACATATACGTGAGGTTTTTCTTCTTATTTTTATCTTTGGGGTGGGGTCGAAAGTAACTAGCAATAGTCTGGTGATATAGTTTTTTATAGATCTACATTCTATACGTTTAGTAATTCTCATCTTTTTTTCTTATTCCTAGATCACGATGGCTTGTGTTGTAGACCACCACACCCTTACTGTAAACGACAGCGAGACAACTGCTATTGTGACGAAAGAACCTGCAGAATTACCACCTTTGCCACAAAATCACCATTACTATCAACCGGAGCATCTGCAGGAAAAGAACGAGGAGGGGGAAGAGGAAGAAGCAGCAAAGGAGAAGACGCGCTATACTGGGCGTAATGTATTTACCTTCTCTCATGCCTCCATACACCCCAACGCTGCAGCCGCGCGAGCCTTCCTTGACGCCCACATCCCGCAGCCCCGCACGGACATGGACACGCAGCGGGCCAACGTCCAGCAGCACCACTTGGAGCGGCTGCATGCCTTTGTGGAACGCAGCGAGTTGCGTAATGTGCTCGGCGACGCGGAGCGGGTCGTCGGCCTCAAATCTCTTGTGCGGCTGGCGGCCGAGACGGACCTCCACCACGCCGGTCGCTGTCAATACCCGCCGGACGTCCAGCAGTTCATGCGCCGCACGTGGCAGGCGCTCCTCCTGCAGGTCGACGCGCACTTCGCCGCCGCCCCGCCGACCGCCGACCGCAGCCGCGAGGCGCTCGAGAACATCTCCGGCCTCGGCGTGTGGTTCACGGGCAACATGTCGCTCCCGCTGCGCCGACACGCCGTGCGCATCCCAGCGCCCGACGGCACCATGCAGGACGCCATCGCCATAGGCATCGCCGCATTCACGTACTCCTCATACGTCATGGAGGCACGAAGGCAGGCACAGACCGCAACACTCGCAGAGCTCGATAGACTCTCCAAGCGACTTAATGTAAAGCTCTGCTTTCTGCCTCCCCTAGTGCTCCCAGAGGAAGCCCCACGGGACCTCCAAGAGGCCACTCTCACTGATAATATTGATGCTTCTCAAAATGAGATGTAATAATGTAAGAATAGGGAAAGCCAATTAAAAAAAAAAAAAAAAGAAAGAATAAATCCAAATAAGTGTACATAATATTGAGCGGATGGACAAGCAGAAAAGGTTTTTTTTTCATTCTTTCTTGGTGTAAGTATCTGTGTGTCTCTTGCACTGTTTCGGTTACATTATGTTCTGTATTATTTGAAAGGACATATTTCGTGCGTTTCTGTATAGTCTTTCTCTACTGAACATGGGGCCCTGCGAATAAAATAACCAAGAAAAGATAAATAAAAAGAATATAATGTGTAAATGAGGAGACGGACCGTTTTTTTTTTTTTTTCATATATATATATTTACTGAGTGTTTTTTTTTTTTTTTTT